CACTCAGGCAACAATAAAACATGATGCTCAACCCAAAATATCATTTAAAATATCAAAACAGAGTAAATATGGTTGAGTTATGAAAACAGTAGAATACAGCATGACTGAGTATAAATATAAAGTCAAAACAGTGAGGAATAGTAGTAAAAATCCCCTAAGGGTCCAAAAAAATTGGCACGAGGCCCAAATATGGCATTCAACCCAAAACACGATAATACTTTCCAAAACACAATGATATCAAACAGTTTTCAATCAAATACACGATTTAACAGTCATACGGGATAGACTAAGTCACAATCCCCAATGGTGCACGACCCCACACTCGTCATCTAGCATGTGCGTCACCTCAAAGTAGCACAACGATGTGAAATCCGGGATTTCATACCCTCATGACAACATTTACAATCATTACTTACCTCAATCCAGATGAAATTCTACTCCGCAATGCCCTCGCCGCTTGACTCAACCTCCAAATGCTCTGAATCTAACCAAAATTAGTACATTATCATCAATATACGCTAAAGGAATGAATTCCCTATGAAAATTATCAAATTAGACCAAAAACCCCGAATTTAGTTCAAACTCGGCCCCCGGGCCCATGCTTCGGAATCCGACAAAACTCACAAAATCCGACAACCGATTCAATCACGAGTGCAACCATACCAAAATTACTAAATTTCGATAACAATTCGGCCTCCAAATATTCAAATCTTATTTTCAAATCTCTAGGTCCAAATCCCCAATTTATACCTCAAAAACATATAATCTAGTCGGATTATTCGATGATAATTCAATATTATGGAGTAGAAATGATCACAATTGACTTACCTCAAGATTTCCCATGATTTCTTACTCAAATATCGCCCCAAGTCATGTTCTTTCACTAAAAGTGGTCCAATATGGTCGCTAAAGGTGCACACCAGATCTGATGCACCAACAGTCTTTAATTTCACTATAATGGCTCTAACTCTATCATACGAACTCGGAATTAAATGATTCTTGTTCCTATGAGTCCCAAATAATAATACAAATATATTACTTCAATCGAAACTCAATTCAGAGCTCATTTGCTCAGTGCGATACCCATTTCGCTCGTTAAACAATTAACTCATGATTCGCGTCAAAAACCCAATCGCAGCTTGATGAAATTAGACCAAACTTTCCAGATCACTCCTATAATTTATTGTAAAAATTTCAAAAGTCTCAAAATCAAATTTTGATCTCTAGAACTAAAAATGGACTTTTGGATCATTACATGCTTATGCTTAAAACGCCAAAATCTTCCAAAAACTCTTCCAAAACTTATCTGAGCCTCATGGGACCCGACCAAACATGACAACACAACCCATAACATAATTCAAACATGTTTCAAACTTCAAAATGCTCAAAACAATATCAAAATATCGAATCACCCTCAGATTCAAGCCTAAGAATTCCAAAACTTCCAAATTCCGAATTCGATCAAAAATTCTATAAAACCTCGTCCGAATGACCTAAAATTTTGTACATACGTCAAAAATGACACAACGAAACTACTCCAATTTCCGAAATTCCATTCTGACCTCAATTTCTAAATTTCCACTACCGACCGGAAAACGCTAAATTTCCAATTTCTCCAATTCGAGCCTAAATCTACCACGGACCTCCAAAATACATTCCGAACATGCTCCCAAGTCCAAAATCATCTAACGGAGCTAGCCAAATTATAGAAATCCAAATTTGAGATCGAATACTAAAAAGTCAAAACTTGGTCAAACCTTTCAAACTTAAAGCTTCAAACTGAGAATTGTTCTTCCAAATCTATTCTAATTATCCTGAAAACCAAAATCGACGATTTACATAGTTATAATACATCACATGGGGCTAGTCATGCCTGAGAACTAGGGAGCAAAGTGCAAAATCTCAAAACGATCGGTCGGGTCGTTACATCATCGAATGAGTGTTCGAATTGTGTAATTTTGGTCGGGTTTCGAGATGCGAGCTTAGGTTGACTTTTGAGTTGACATTTTATTTCTTTTCAAAGATCGTAACTTTATTATTCAAATTAGTTTTCTATAGTTTATATTTATGGTATGAAGTTGTTTTGGCTAGATTCGAGCCGTTCAGAGTTAGAAAATCGAGGGAAAGGCCTACTAGTGAATTGAGTTAGCGTGATTTGAGGTAAGTATCTTGCCTAACTTGTATCGGAGAATTAACCCTTAGGATTGGTGTTTTTTGTGATCAATGTGATGTGTGAAAGCTGTGTATGCAAGGTGACGAGTGTGTGCACGGGCTAAATGTGGAAATTACCAGTTTTAGCTATTTAGATTTCTTTCATGCCTTAATTGAGTTATCTTAACATGTTATAGTCATTCAGATGTTCCACTTGTCTTATCTCTTACTTGCTAATTGCTCTACATGTTTAGTTGAAGTTCTTGTTTCCTTTATTCTGTATTCATTATTTAACCATTGAACTCTTTATTTAAAGTTGTTATTCTTGGAATATCTTGTTGAAATTGATATTGAGTTATAAAGGCCGTGAATTGCATTGAGGCAAAGTGTTAAGTTGTGAAATACTATTCTTGTTTAGTTATTCACTACTAGTTATTGTTGTTGAGATTCTTGAGTACATTGTGGTCGATTCATGGGCTCTTTATTATGAAAACACTGTTATTATTGGTTTTTGTGGCATGTTGTGATATTGGGCACTTGAGTTGCGAATTGTGATTCATTGTGATGTTGATATGCATGCAGTGGTATAATGTTTTTGGGATTGAAACTCATGTGGTGAGATAAGGTGGTCTTGATACGTGTGGGTAGTATGGAACTACTAGAAGTCATGCAATGTGATAAGGTGGGCTAAAACGCGGATGTTATTTTGGGAAATGATTTTTAAAACTAAATGCAAGGCTCCCGTGGTGATATAAGGAAAGATTGTAAATTATTCTTGTGATTTGAGACTACGAGGCGATACCTCGGTAGTGACTCTTGTTGGTATTTCACTATTGTTGCACTTGTCTTTGGTTGTTTGTTTTCTTAGAATATTATTTCTTGTCTTCTTTGTGTTGCACTATTTGATTTAGTTCCGTGTAGCTGATATTGATATGCTATCTGTAGTTTTAATTTTGTTACTATCATTACTACACTGCCCTACACTTGTATAGTCTTCTTATTTATTCCAGCAGAGCCTTGACCTAACCTCTTCACTACTCTACCAAGGTTAGGTTTGGCACTTACTAGGTGTCTTTGTGGTGTACTCATGCTACGCTTCTACACATCTTTTTGTGCAGATCCAAGTACCTCCTATCAGCCCAGGCATTAGCGAGAGTTTAGCTACGGAGACTTCAAGGTATAGCTACCGGCATCCACAGGCCTCAGAGTCCCCTTTACCTTGAGTATTCTCTTTTCTTTATCCTTTTATAGATATTGATGTATAGGATTATGCAGTACTTCTATTTAGATCTTGTGACTTGTATACGTTGGGTCTTGGGAGTTGTATATGCTGAGTTGCAGATTTCATATTATATAGTTGCTGAGTTTTGAAATTTATTTATTATTTCAGTTATTTCTTTGTGAATGTTAGACTTACCTAGTCTTAGAGACTAGGTGCCATCACGACATCTTACGGAGAAAATTGGGTCATGACACTTATCGAGATCTCATTATTTTCAGGTACTTGCCTCCTTATTATGACCATCTTGAACATTTGCTCCTCTCCTTCTTCAAGGAATTTTATCTTTGGAACTAACTAGTCTATTACGCATCATGCGTGCCATAAACTCTATCCATCATGAATGTTATTCTATTTGGAGTATTAGCAGCTGAAATATGACATTTAGCTAGGTCAGTAAATGCGCCTGACAATATTTTGCAAATAAATTATCACTTGAACTTCAATTTCACATTTTCTTGTATGAGGATCTAGATGTATTCATAATAATTCATTTCACGTATCACGTTTTAGCTGTCCATTTTCTCCCCTACTGTTGGGATCACCAACACATTTCCCAACCTTCTTTAGGAACCATCTTTGTGCATTGTGGTGGTATAATTAAATCATATAGCACATCCATATTTATAGATGTAAATTATTTGGTTCCTGGCCCTGGACCAATTGTGATGGGGAGAATTTATTATAACTTTGCTAGATGCGTACAAGTGCTACTATATATTAAATAATACATCTCATACCAGATATCTATTTGGGAGTTTTGTTCTCATAACCAATGGTTTAGCTATAATTGGAGGCATACAATTTCTGGTAAACCAACTTGGATTTAAACCAGAATTACCAAGATAAATTATCATAATTTATATTCTGGAACTATGCTCTAATAATTTGAGCAATCAACCTTGCAAAATCCAAATTGCAAGTTGATAACAAACGCACATGTCACCATATAATAGATACATCTATTAAAATCATATAATAGTAAATGGTTCACATGGCAGGTGACTGGGGATATATATATCATCTTTTATACGTTCCAAAAATCAGGGAATACAATCCCAACCCCATCTGGTATAGTAATCAAATTATCATGAGAATAAGTTATGCAGGAGAATTCTCGAAGAATCTCCTAATTCTTCAATATATGCCAATGTGAATTCTCAATCATTTTTCGCATCATAATTGAACCGCGATAGCCAACTGGTCATGCTAACTGATGTTTCTTTTAGTAAACATCTAATTTAATATGGCATGTGATTATATCATTATGCTTATACATCTGTAGTACAAATAGAAGAAAAGTCGGGTAACCTTTTATATTTATCCGGTATTGATACCCAATTTTACCCTCATATTTTGTCAAATGGTATATATAATTTCAAAATAACATTTTGCATTATTTGTTTTGGTCGAAAGAAAAACTTTATTTAAATCTTTTTGTGCAATTTACATCATCTGTTCTTGTGGACTATAGAACAGATCGCATAAGTATAACCAAATAAAAACAACTATACAACTAGTATTGTTTAGCAAAATCCTAACACTATATAGACTTTTTCTGTCATATGTGTCATGGATTACATGTAGGATAACTATTGAACGGCTGTAGAATAGGTAACCATTTGGGTTTCTTCTGTCCAGCAACATGCACTTGAAGAGCAATTTCCTTTGCTCTGTCTTTGGCCTCTTTACTCTGCTGTTGAAATCTTCTTTCATTTCGCTCCATCCAGATGTTGTAGACTACTGCTGCAAATATCACTCCTAGCAGTACCTTTCTTAGATTCCTGTTATTTACATTGTCAATTAGCCATTGCACTTTTGTTTCCCAGTTACCAGTTGTCCTTTGATATTCTAGTCATCTTAACATTCCTTTCCATAGACACTGTGAGTATGAACATTCGAAGTACAAGTGGTCATGTGTCTCTTCTATATCTCTTCCACACAATGTACATGACTGATCTACTTGAACTCCCCATTTGACTAATCTGTCAACTGTAGCTAGTCTTCTATGCATTGCCATCCATAAAATGTACTTTTGTTTTGGTAGCATTCCAGTTACCATAACTATTATTTTCCAGTGGACTTTGGGATACTGTGGAGTAGTATGAAGGTAAGTCTTCCTAATACTGAACTTCCCATTCTGAGTGCAGGTTTGAATTTTTGTAATATCATTTACCCACCACTCTTTTGCTACAAACATCTTCCTTACTAGCCATTTAGCTTGCTTAAGGGTCTCCATAGTAGCAATGTCTTTCTTCTTTATGTAGTGGCAGTGAATCCACTTGATCCATAGCTTGTCTTTCTTAGATATTATAGCCCAAAGAAGCTTATTCAAGGCAGCTTTATTCCATCTCTCATAATTGACTATGTTCAAACCTCCAGCAGTTTGTGGTTTACACAAAGTCTCCCATGCTATAGGAGCCCTATGAGTAGTATCATGACTACCAGTCCACAGGTAATTCCTGCATATACCATTTACCAGTTTAATAACCTTTTTTGGAATAAGAAATACTTGAGCCTCGTAAGTCTGCATTTCAAACAATACACTCTTGATGAGTTGTAATCTTCCAGCATAGGATAAAAACATGGATGTCCAGCTTCTGATTCTGTCCACTATCCTCTCCACTAATGGCATACATTGTGATATAGTAATTTTCCTTGTGGACAAAGATACTCCCAAATATTTGAATGGAAAGCTGCCTTCTGCTAGGTGAAGAGCTTCCAACATTTGTTTTGAATTCCCTGGGAGCACTTGCATTATTACTTAGTCTACAAGAGTCATATGAGCATTTTCTATATTTTTTTATAATTTTTAAAGCTTTAAAATTAATTTTCTCGCATTTAAATTACTTGAATATTTATTAGTTACCCATTTAAATTATTTTGTGATAACTTAATCATCCAGATTTATTATTTTCATCCATATATATGTTTCAGAATATTTTACTTTATTCGTATTTTTAAGTTATTTTACACAATTTTGCAATAGTAGCCTATATGATGTGCGTAATTATATTTTATTACATTATTTGTGCTCAAAATAGTATTTTATATTTTAAATGTTAAACTATTATTTTAAAAAAATTTACTACATAAATAATATTTTATCATTTGTTAATTACTTTTCATAAATTATTTTTGATAAAATTTTGTGCATTTAAATTGTGGCCCAGTTTTAATATGAATTTCAGGGCAAAAGCAGGCCCAAAAACATTTGGCCCGTTTCCTTTTGCCTTTAGCAACCTAGACCAAACGACCCTTTAGCTTAACCCGGTCGAGACCCGTCGTATGGCCCGCCCCACTTCCCTTTAATCACGGCCTCTGATCTCAGATGATCAATGACCCACAATAACCTTCCCCCTTTCCTTATAACTCCTCACCCTAACCCTAGAGATCATTTCTCTTAACCAACCACCACTAAACACTATCATCCTTTCCTTCCCCTTCCCTTTATTTCCCTCTCCTAATCCCATTGATAATGGAATTTCACCATTATTTGCTTATCATATTTGGTTTCTTTTGGTACTGGTCAGACGTTTATGGCATTACTTAGGTATTTGCCCAATTTTGGAAAATACCACCTCTATATTGGACGAGAATCAACGCAATCTTGGAGATTTGGATAATATTTGGTCCATATAGCTGGATTCTTCATACCAGTTGGCCGATTTTGGGTTTTAAACCCTAACTAGGGTTTGGAGTTTGATTTTTTTCTCTTTTCGATCCCCAACTAACTTGCATGCAACATTTTACCCTTTTTGTTCTTGTTTACTTGATTTCTTTCCTTGTTTATCTGCCTGATTTTACCACTATATAAACCCCTCCCCTAATATCTTTTGAACGGATGTTAATCGCTTAACAACTACTGTTAATCCTTAATTTTCACTTTCTATTTTTTTGCTTTCTCTCTTGATTGTGGCCGGCTAGAAGCCAATGCCATCAGAATCTACTCTATTAACTTCACTTGTGCAAGCACTGCTCGGGGCTTACTGAAGCTCCCGCGAACTCTGATGCACTAGGATTTGGGGGTGTTTACTGTTTTGTTGATGTCACTACTGAGATTCTAGGTTACTCACCCTTTTGTTCGTTTATCTCCGCAACTGGTTATCATTCTTGACTCTCATAGCCTTCATTGTTATTCCTTTACTTGCTTATGTGTGTACTCTATATGCCAACGCTGGTTGAACTTTTAGACAAGCATGCCTTAAGTTTCTCTGTTAATTGTGAACTTGCAGCATTATGTTATTATGTGTTTTCTATAAATCTACTGTCTCAATGATGTTCTACAAGTTACATAACTTCTAGTATCGAACTTGAATGGTTTCAACATGTGTAGTAGACTTTCACTCTGCATATTTGATTTGAATGGTTTATAGCCCTCTTAACTTTTACCTTATTGACCATGTTCATGCTAGCCTTAATGTCATGTTCTGTGTTTGTTATAAGTTCATAATTATGCCTTAACGTCATATTCCATGTTTTCTTAGAATCTGCTTTAATGAATTTCTTCCTATTGAACCCTTTAAGAATAATCTATTATTTCTTGCACTCTGATTCCTGATTCTCCCATGTTATAGCACTATTTCAATATATAACCAAATTTGTTTATATGCAATTTGTAACTCTAGTGGTTATGTTCTCTAACCTGTCAATCCTGCATTCTTAGCATTGATTCTATGATAAATGTCAATGTGTAGTTTTCTCTCATGTGGGATCGACTGAAATGAACCCTAATGTTTGCTTGTCCTGTTGACCTATAATTGACATATTCTTTTACCTACCATGAGTTCTTTAGAGTCTTTGTGCTATAGTAATGCCCATCATGTTCAACTAAGTGATATGTTTGCCAACTGTCTTAACTATGCCCATTAGCCTGTCACTATGTTGTTGATGGCCATATTCTCACTAGGCTTTCGTGTTAAAAACTTTCATGTGAAAACTACCATCCACTTATTCATGTCTGTGACTTTGCTAGATTCTTATGGTAATTGTCTAAAGTCCTTTACGCTAATTCTGGACTACGCTTTGCTTTGAAACTCTATCTGGCATAGTTTGCTAACTTATGATGTTCTAACCTGTCATTAAAAACGTGTTTTGTTTATATCATATGTGCCTGTAAAGAATTTTGTGTAGCCTTATTTGTATGTCTTTGTTTGTAAATCCCTTCTCGTTCTCTGTTAGCTATAGCATTAAAAGATGAAACTCCTAAGTCTTAAAGTTCGCCTGGTACCAAGCTTGTCACTTATGTTGCTACAGTTATTTAGCATTCCATGGGTAAGCAAGGAAGCTGTGTTAAAGTTTGGATCTAGGTATTGGGCTAGTTTGCTACTCAAAACTGAAGCGTATTAATAGCCACCTGGAGTTTGGGCTTGTTCATCACCTAAGGCTTAAGGCTCAGTTGGAGACCCAGAATCAACCTGGGGTACCCTGTACTTGATGCATTTTGGGCATGTAGCCGCCCTATTAAGTCTGTAACTATTTGGGCCTGTAATAATTTGTAGTAACGAATAATGGGGAGATTAGTGGAATTGGGGGAAATGGATATATTCTAATGCTTGCACAAAAAGGGTAGAAAATATTCTTATAGGGTCTATGTTCTCTATTCTCCTTTTCGTTTAGCATGCCTTATTTGTTATTTTATTTAATGTTCCTATTTTGCCATTCAAAGAAATCATGCTAATAGGAAATCACACACACTTCACTCAACCTGTCTAAGGTATGTTTAAGTATTTGCTATACTTGTTTCTAGGTTTACTATTGAGCACACTTAGACAACATGCATATAGGATAAATAACACAGGTTTCGTTACTACCCATCTAGATACCATGTCTATAGGGTTTCAATTAATCAATCAATCAATTATTTCTATTTCTCTTAACACACCGCTCCTTTAGATATCATGACTATAGGATTTTAATCAATTAATCAATCACTTTATTACTTCGTCGCATTGCCACACTTTGATGACATGCATATAGGGATAAAATATGTAAAATCAATTTCAACTGTTAGAAATCACGTCTATAGAACACTGTCATCTGCGTAAGAAGCATGCCTACAAAGCCAACACTGGTAATTTGGGATTCTAAGATCATTTCACTGCCTTATTGTGCAAATAATTAGAAATCATGCCTATAGGATTTGCAATGTTTTAATTTGCTTATACGTTGCAATACTGCCTATATAATACTTAGGAACCATGCCTATAGGATTTAACAACCCAAATATGTCTTGATTTTGAAACTGTCTACTGCCTAATCTTAAAATCTGTGACTGATCGCGTGCTTTTTATGCTTATGTGTGGAGGTTAACTTGAGCCTTTCATTGCTATTGTGTGTAGTCCTAACTGTTTTGAATGTCGCCTAGTTTTATCATTTTGAGTACCCTAAGCAAAGTCTAGAACCATCCAAATAGTAGGTCCAAAGCCTCATGGACCATAGGCATGAGACGGGTAATGCACGCATGGGACACGACTTAGAATTGAATTAGAGCACCTTTAAGTAAACTACTTCAACATAGTAATTGGGTAGCAGGAGATGATAGTCTGTGCCCGTTGAATAATATGAGCAACCCCTACCTCAAGGGAGTTGCGAAGTATTATTTATGTTGCACAAGGTGATCCTTTAGGCTAAAAAACTTAGGACCCCCTTCCTTTGATACACTTGTTATCTACGCTTAGTCATTCAATATAGACTAATGTAATTGTATCCTTGCAATCATGTTGATATTCGTTATAATAAGAATTTTCAACTTCTAACCCCTCCTTACTTGATCACTTAGCCTAATTACATAATCCACATAGTTTTAAGTTCGGTCGGGACCCACAGTTGTGGACCTCAAAGAGTGCCTAACACCTTCTCTCCGAGGTAATTTGAGCCCTTATCCGATCTTTGGTGACAAACTAGTCAAATAGAGTTATCCGCAAAATAGGATCTCTAACGCACCTTAAAAATTGTTAGGTGGTGACTCCTCTCTTTTAATACCCATTTAAAAGAGTTGTCACATGTCGAAACCTACTTTTGCGAGAAAATGGGGGGCGATAGCATGGCGACTCCGCTGGGGATTTACCCTTAGAATCTTACCATAATGAATTTGACTCATGTGGATTACTTTCTTTGTTACATGCACATCTCTTCCATTCTTCACCTTTATTTGGTTAAATTTTCTATGACACGCACATCCCTTCCCCTATTCACCTTTATTTGTTTAAATTTGCTATGACATGCACATCCCTTCCCTATTCACATTTATTTTCTATGACCACTCTTCATCTCGTCAAAAACTGCTATATCATGCCTTTACCATCCCACTTCCTTACCTACTTTATTACATTTTTGCATATATTTTATGAACTAAACTGACTTCTTCTTTTTGTCTTTCTTCTCTATTTTTTCTATGTTTACTTTTGCTATCTTATTTATGCTTTTACATATTTTATCATGCAAATAGTTGGCGACGTGTTATTATTTCTGCATAAAGCATGCTCCACATCATACTCCACTCGTGCTAACTATCAATATAGTGGCACTTTAGTGTCCACGCTCTTCCGAAAATTACCCTTTTAAATCAAAAAGGCTTATTTACAGTAGACTAGTCGATCAACGGTGCAATCGACGGTCATGTTCCTTTCCCTCTCAAGTTGTCCACTTGGGAGCACCAGTCTAGACCATTCTACAAATCCTACTCCAACTTGAAATGTACATGCATCATGCTAAACCTAGTACGGGTTGGAGCGTTATTAACGTAACAACCCGCTA